AAAAAAAAAAAAAAAAAAAAAAAAAAAAAAAAGAGCAATAATCAAAAGTAAGAAACAAAAAATTATTTTTACAAGTAATTTCCATTGGCAATACTAATTTCTTACTCCAAAATTATCTTTTCCTTCAATATCTGCCCCTTTTTCCACCAACTTTTTTACAATTTCTGGGCAGTTTTTTAAGCACGCAACGTGTAACGGCGTTTGCTGCAAAAAATGATAATAAATCGTTTTACAGCTTTAAGTTTATTTCTCTTAATTGAAACTTTTAAAAGCTATTTTAAACTTTTTTTTTTGTCGTCTATTGATGTTACTGTTAATTCAGTTAATCATCTGGTTAATCACCAAAATAAACAAAGAGTAAATTCATTGAAATTTGATAGGACTGATTATGTTTTATAAAGTTACAGCATTGAACCGTGCTGAATAGTAACTGATAAAAATGCTATTATTTTAGCTATTCTTAAGGATGTTAAAGTGGTGCCAAAAGAGGCCAAATTATTGGAATTTTTGTGCGTTTTACATAAATTTCTATTTTTATAGTATCTTCAGAATGTTTATTAACTGATTTAATATGCATCTTTCCTTTTTTTTTTTGTTGCTGGTTTATATAAAAAAAGCAATCTGTGACACAGGTGTAACAAGTAAATAAAGTAAAACAGATAAAGAGTTACAAAAATAAATTTTTAAAATATTTCGACTTTTTTCTTTTGTTTTTTTGTTATACTAATATACACTTTCATTAATGCTATCTTCAGTTTCGTTCTTTATCGTTTTTTGCATCAAAACATATTACTTGGTAATCGTCTTTACAAAAGTATTTATTTAGAAGCAAATAAATCAAAAGAAAGAAGTAAGTAAGAATTTGAAGTTATTGCCGTACAGTGCTACAAGATAATGGTAAAATTTAAAACAACAAGTTTTTAACATATTTTTTTTTTTTGTGATTTAATTTGTGATTTTAATACATTACCCCTTTGTTATCGTCCTCATATATATCAGCACCGCTGTCTATCAAATACTTTGCCATATTTATTTGCTTGTTTAGAATTGCAATTTCCAGTGGCGTTTGCTGAAATACAAAAGAACTTATCTCAGATAACACTTTTTTGTCACTTTTTAAAAATTACCTAACAAATAATATTAACCGTTGTTTGTTCTTCTTGAAAAAAATTTTTCAAATTTAGCACTT